AGGACTGATTAGCTGAGGAGGCCTCCCTTGCGGCTCTTGTCTCACACCCTTGGATGTGGAAACAGGGAGCGAGTAGCCAGAGAGAAGCACGGGTGCCAAAGTGTTCAGACACGGTGCCTGATAGAGTTCCGGCCACTGGGTCCCTGGAAGGATGAGCAGGGCTGGTAGACAGCTGAGATGTCAGCGTGGATAGCAGTGGAAACTGGAGCAAGGTCAAACAAGCCAGGGGTCAAGCCAGACGCTCAGCACGGTACAGAAGGAGCAGCAGAGGCAGAGTCCAGATAATAAGCAGAGGTCAGGGGCAGGCAGCAATCAGTCAGTCAGCAGCAATCCAGGTCGAGGTAACAGGCAACAGATCAATAGGAACACAAGCTGAAAGACCGTTCAGCACTGACCCATTGAGCCAGCTGGTTTAAATAGGAACATCTATTAGAGTAACTCTTTAGTAAGTCATTTCCTGTGTGCCACTGTGTCACTTCCTGTGTGCCACATTCTGTTGTGCGAGCATGCAACCCGGAAGACTGGGACCCGCGCATGTGTAGTAGTGCGCAAGCTTCCGGCTATGGCCTTACACATTTATTGTAGTAGTGATGACTTCTAAAGCTGGTCACAAAAAAAGGAAAGGGGGGTCATAGTGCACATGTGTGATCGGACGGCCATTCAGGCTTTCTTATTTTTTTTATATTCCAGTCAGATATAAAAGACACAAATAGAAAATTACAAATGAAATTGGCCAATGCTTGTTATTTTCATCAGTAATTTGGCGCCCATTCGGCCTGTTTCTGGTGAACTCATTGTGTCCAATATGTTTCATTCCGCTGTCTTTTTTTCTCCCCCTCCCTCCTTCTCTCATCCTGGCATTGCAGCCAAGTCCATGGCTCTATCTGGGATGTCCGTGGCAGCGTCCCCGCTCAGAAAATATGTAGCCGTGATTTTTTTGGCCTTGCTTCCGCCAGTCTGTATACATTATTTTTTTTGCCGAACTTATGGCCGTGGCATGGCGAGCGCATTTCTAAATCTCCTACAAACTGTCTCATTTCCATTTACAAGCTGATCCATCTCCTCTTTCATTCAATTACGCTGGGCATCTTTGCTTAGGAATCCGCCGGTGGCCAGACTTTCATTGAAAGGTTCATTTTTAGGATTACGGAGCAGCCAGAGAACATGCTTTGCTAGCATTTCCATGAGATGGGTAATTGCATAAATCAATAATGATGATTGTACTGTGTTGCTGAATAATCTGTGACGGTAAGCTGCAGAGAATTTTTGTATATGCGGCCAGGGATAATTGAAGACTTACAGTGTCAATAATAGGAAGCAAATCTTTAAAATGGTCTTAATGGACTGGTAATGCTTTGCAGTTGCCAATAGCTCAGCATTAGGTGAGTTGCCATGCCATGTTCAGTTTAGTAGGTTTTTGAAACCTCACAGCTGTAAGTAATGACTGATTTAAAGTGTGCCTGTGGCCAGGCTATGGACATTAAAACATTACATATTTATAACAGGCAGTAAATGGGCTTTAAAACAAGCCCTCACCATCTGTAGCTGGAGACACTGTGGAGCAATTATTCCTCACAAAGTTCACTGTAGAAGCACTGAAGGGTTTGTGTCCTTTCAGCATTTTAGCTCACTTTGCTCCCCCCAACAGTGACTCAGCAGCTCAGCTCCCTCTGCTCCATCTCCCAGCAGAGACTCAACAGCTCAGCTCCCTCTGTTTCATGTCCCAGCAGAGACTCAACAGCTCAGCTCACTCTGCTCCATGTCCCAGCAGAGACTCAACAGCTCAGCTCAGCACCCTCTGCTCCATCTCCCAGCAGAGACTCAACAGCTCAGCTCACTTTGCTCCATCTCCCAGCAGAGACTCAACAGCTGAGCTCCCTCTGCTCCATGTCCCAGCAGAGACTCAACAGCTCAGCTCAGCACCCTCTGCTCCATCTCCCAGCAGAGACTCAATAGCTCAGCCCACTTTGCTCCATCTCCCAGCAGAGATTTAACAGCTCAGCTCACTCTGCTCCATGTCCCAGCAGAGACTCAACAGCTCAGCTCACTCTGCTCCATGTCCCAGCAGAGATTCAACAGCTCAGCTCACTCTGCTCCATGTCCCAGCAGAGACTCAACAGCTCAGCTCAGCACCCTCTGCTCCATCTCCCAGCAGAGACTCAACAGCTCAGCTCAGCACCCTCTGCTCCATGTCCCAGCAGAGATTCAACAGCTCAGCTCACTTTGCTCCATCTCCCAGCAGAGACTCAACAGCTCAGGTCACTCTGCTCTTCCCTCCAAGCAGTAGCTCGGCAGCTAAGTCTACTCTGCTCCATCTCCTAGTCATGACTCAGCAACCTTCAGGTCTTGTGTTCTTTAAGGTAAACAGAGAACAGGAGCTCTGGAAAAGGGGATTATTATTATTATTCAATAATATATCATTATATTTATTTTTTAGAATGCAAAGAGTGTAAGTACCTCAATTTACTTTGGTATTAGAAACTTGCAGTGCCTGTACTGCAGAGCTCTGAATGGGAGAGGAGGAAGTAGCACATGGAGGCAATTAGTTAATCTGCTGACAATGAGCATGCTGATAGAAGCATGCTAATAGGAGGAGGGAGCAAAATGATAGATAAGCGTATCACTGTGCTGCTCCTCCTTCACTATCCAGTCACAGGCTGGGGGTGGGTCCATGACAGCCTAAGTTCAGAGCCTTAAAAAAGACTCCTTTTTTAAGGTTTCAGGGCATTCACCTGTTTTACTATTTATTAAATGATGAGTCCACCTGAAAAGTGCTATTTCATTTTTTAGTGGTCACTGGCCTGCTGTGACAACCACCACCAGCAGAACCAGAGTGCGCCTTTTGGGACTCCTGTAGTAAGAATTCTACACTTGAGTTCCCAGCTCCTCCCTCTCTGTGACCATCCCTCTTGCTGTCACATTCTTCATTCCTTGTGCATTACCCAGAATTCAGAAGGGGCATATGACTCCCTTTCTTGGCTTCACAACAAGATCTTGAGGCTGAATTTCAATGCAAGCTTCCGATGACCAAAACATTTTGTGCCTGCCAAGTTTCCAGCACCCGGTGCACTAATAGCACAGTATCCACTTTAAAGGATGATTTGTTTTATTTGATGCTTACAAAGTAATACAGTGGGTTAGGATATTGAAATATGGGACAGCGTACTGCTCTCTTAACCACCTCGGACCACTTTTTTTTTTTTTTTTGCTAAGTCTTCTACACATGGATAGTCCATAGAAAAAGATCGGCATATTGTTCCAGCGAAAGCTATACTCTATTATATTCTATTCCCCTTGTCTTCCCCTGCCATTTTCTCCCTATAAGTAATAGCAGGCTGATTTATGGAGTGCTAGAATTACTTACTAATGTATTCATCCAAAAAGGTTACCTTGTGATATGGGGCTGCAGTATGACAGCCGCGCTGTGGTTTTATAGTACAATCATTGCCTCTAGTATAAGTTTTTACTACATAATAACACGCTCTTTGTTCAGGTAAGTAGGATCCAGACTCCTTATAAACCCAGCTCAATGTCACTGTGAGTGTGTAGCAGTATGGATTGTAAAGGGCTGAATGCAGCGGACGTATACATTTCTCTCACTCGTCAATGGGTTTACCAAGCAAGGCGCTAATGGAATCAGGGTCCCAGCTAGTGCAAATCATCTTCATATATACCAGAGAATTTGAGATAATGTATGAGTGTTTGTGCCCACTGCGTCTGCAGTTGCGGAAAGCCAATCATTTTTAGTATAGGAAAGTTGAAACACACCAAGAACTATGAATGTTATTGGCTTATTGGATCAGGAAGGATTTTGTTTCCCCTGTTGGAGCAAATATAACCGTGCTTTATTGGGGGGGGAGGGGGGTTGCATAGTTACATATTTGCATAGCTACATAGTTGCATAGTTACATACTGTAGTTGTATAGTTGCATAGTTACATAGTTGTATAGTTACATAGTAACGTAGTTACATACTGTAGTTGTATAGCTACATAGTAACATAGTTGCATAGTTGTGTAGTCACATAGTTGTATTGTTACCTAGTTGTATAGTTGTACAGTTATATAGTTGTATAGTTACATTGTTGCCTAGTTACATATTTGCTTAGTTACATCGTTGTATAGATGCATAGTGACATAGTTGTAGTGTTATATAGTTGCATAGTTACATTGTTGCCTAGTTACATATTTGCTTACTTACATAGTTGTATAGATGCATAGTGACATAGCTGTATTGTTATATAGTTGCATAGTTACATAGTTACATAGTTGTATAGTTGTGTAGTTACATATTTGAATAGTGGACAGGGTTGAAAAAAGACACAAGTCTATCCTGTTCAACATGTGTGTGTGTGTGTGTGTGTGTGTGTGTGTGTGTTACTTTGAAAAAGTAAAGTAAAACCCAGATAGGGGTTCTTACCCTTCCCTACTCTATCCAAAACTAAGAAACATATTATAGGTAGGACATATAGCTTTTAAGTTTCAAGTTACCTTTTCTGATATATTTTTTGGCGGATTCAGAATAATAAACAAATAATTATGCAATGCTGCAGCTTACATACAAGGCAAGTGTGGGGACAGTTAATGAACCACCTTACTGTTTCATTGAAGTGTTACAACAGTATTACAGATTTACTAATGGCTATGAGTCACATGACTTAATGGGCCAGGTAAACTTGCCGGTGCACCAAATATTTGGCACGCGGTAACCTGCTTTTCTTTTAAATGCTCCAAAAAATAGTTCAGTGTGATCTACTGTTCTTGGATAAATATTTCATCATATCTCTACCCTAGAACGATGTGAGGCCCTGATAAGGGGGTGTGTTTTGGACCTCCAAAACACATTGGCTACTTTAAATTAATGTCCCTTGGCTCTACCTGACTAAAGTTTTATCCGGATTACTTTTATTGGTGTGTTGCCTCAATTCCTACATCTACTAGCCAAGGATACTGTATAGACGTTTGTAGCTCATGTCTCAACATACACGCTCTGTTTTTGCAGGTTCTCAATGCTGAGGGACAATGCTGGCTGGCTCTCAATTAACGCTCTGAATGGAACAGTCAACACCACAGGACCTCTCGATCGGGAGTCCTCATTTGTCCACAACAACACGTACACCGCCTTGATCTTAGCAATAGACAATGGTAAGTACGTGTGCTAAATGATTATTATTATTATTGTACAGGATTTATATAGCGCCAACAGTTTGTGCAGCGCTTTACAACATAGGGAAGACATTACAGTTACAATACAATTCAAGACAAGATGGTAAGGAGGGCCCTGCCCGTGAGAGCTTACAATCTAAGAGAGAGGAACAAGTGATACATGAGGAGGTAACTGTGTTGGGATGAATTGTTTTAGAAGGATAGTTCAGTGGTTAGTTTGAGGTGGAATAGGCTTTCCTGAAGAGATGAGTCTTTAGGGATCGCCTAAAGACAATCAGAGTGGGAGATAGACGGACAGGTTGGGGTAAAGAGTTCCAGAGGATAAGAGAGACTCTAGAGAAGTCCTCGAGGCAAGCATGGGAGAAGTTGACAAGGGAACTGGAAAGCAGCAGGTCTTTGGAGGAGCATAGGGGACGGTTGGGGTAATACTTGGAGACAAGGTTTGAGATATAGACGGGGGCAGAGTTGTGGAAGGCTTTGCAAGTGGTTGTTAATATTTTGAAATGTATCCTTTGGGCGGTTGGAAGCCAGTGCAGGGATTGGCAGAGGGGGAGTTGTAGATACTGAGCGGTTGGTTAGGTAGATGAGTCTAGCAGCAGCATTCATGATAGACTGAAGAGGGTATAGCCTGTGCAGTGGTAGGCCATTGAGGAGGGAGTTACAATATAGATGCTGAGACTAGTTATGGAGGAGGCAGTTATGTTGGGTGCTTAGCCATCCCACAGTCTATTAGGAAACATCAAAAAGACCTGATCTGATCTATTACCTTCATAAAGGAGGCATTGGCACCTAGTTAACTAGAGGGCCTCATTTTGAAGAATAATATTTCATTAAACAAGATGGCTCCTCTACTGTTCTGTTCTGATTTAAAAAAAACAGTTGTCATTTAGTAGAAGGTATTGGATGTTAATTTTTCTTTTAGTCCTGAACATAATGCTGTTTATACTTAATGAAATATATACCAAAGCACTGTTCATCGCCTTTAAATGGTTATAAATGTGCAGCCTTAAAGTATGTATATGCCTATGCTCCTGTATTTTAGCTTTATTTAAGTAGCCTGAGTGAAGCTTGAGTGTTAAGGGTCCATACCAGCAATGGGAGCATCTACATGCCTCCATACGTACACTCTCTATAGGGTTGTAATAGACCCTACTGTCCTTTAGAGCCTCATAAAGCTGCACATCTAGTTTTCCTATACGCTGTCATATCGAGCCACTCATAGCCCAGGAAAGTTTCCTGTACCAACGTATTTCCTGCGCCCAAGTTGTGTTTGCTGTGCAGTTCTAGTACTTTTTTGTGAAGGGCTCTTGCAGTAGTTTTGGCTCGGATCTCTGCAGAATCATTAATGCGAGTCGTGTCAAGTAATTTTACAAGGGTCACGTTTGGTCTCCGAGGACTTGTCTGAGTTCTGCAGATGCGCCGCTTTGTATTATTTGCATACAAATGTCTTCTGGCGGCGTCGCTGGATTTACATGACGTAGCAAGTTGCTGTATGTTGCTTTGATTCATCAATAAGTTTTACATTGTCCCTCCGCCAGAGTCTGACCTCAATCTTCTGTTTCTGAAAGCCGTACTGACAAAAAAAATTCAGTCTGGGCGGCTCCTCTGTGATTTCAGCCAGCAATGCATGCTGGAACGTGTTCATCCTAAAGGACGACTCCGATTTTGTTTAAGCTGATACAACATAAATGTAACGGCTTCACAACACGTTTTGTAGTTTATTTGGAATCAGCTGGGAACAAGTTAAAAGCAAACAAGTGCCCACCGGGGTGAAGTGGACCTTTTAGTAACTTTACAAGTCTTCAGAAATAAATTACTAACACAATATGCACTGCAGCAACTGCATCATTTTTCGAAATGGTCCACCTTTTATCATTAAAAAGCCTTTTGGATGCCCGGTCAATTGATCATGTCTATGCCGAGATAATGTCCTCAGTCTGCTGCAGGCAAGGGAAGCATTTGCTCATTCTCTTCCACCCCATAGTGATCACTGAGACTGTACATTTTGTAGCAAGCCACAAGGTGGGAGGCTGCAGTAGGAGCTGATCTATGTCAGACATTTGTAAACACAGCCAGGAATTGCACAGGATTTTCATGATTGTGTCATCTCTGAGCTGGTATCTCAGCCCAGGAAGTAGATGGTGACCCTGGATGATGCCGGGACAAAGATGACTTTGTCATGCTGTAGAGGAAAGCAGATGAAGGCTCTGTCAGTGTGAGCTCTGTGATCCATGTGAGAGGTAATAAATACCTGTTATATATCCGATACTAGGTCCACTTTGAACCCCCAGAGCATTTATAAGATATGTCTAAATTCACCCCCCACTTTGGTGCATGCATTTCACCTTACGTCATTGTTATAGGAGGTCCATGTTCATGACAGTAATGGGGGCTCGTCTTATTAAAGTGGAACACTTTTCACTTAAATAAAACATAAAAACAACACCGGGCGCCTATCCTGAGCTCTGAGGAAGGGGGTGTGTCCACGAAAATGCGTTCAGCAATGGTAGCGTGGCTGGATTGTCCTTCATTTTCTCCAATCCATTTCCACAGCGTCCATTGACGCTTTTAACCCTTGCTTCCTTTGTGAGTATAATTTATTGTTCATCTATTTCTATCAATAAAAAGATTTATTGCACCAGGATAGGCGCCCGGTGTGGTTTTTATGTTTTATGCAGTGTTTGGGATCCCTTATCCGAAACGGGGCAGCCATACTAGATTTTAAGAAGCTTTGTGGGCCATAGGAGGGTTTCTTTGGTGCTGGTCGGTGCTTTTTTGGAACACTTTTCACTTAGCTCAATCAAACTGTATTAATTTCTGCCATCCAATCAAATGCAACGGAATTTCTTTTTTTTTATTCCTCTGCACTTGATTGGATGTTAACAGTGAATGGAAGTTCACTTGGTTTAGTGAAATAAGTACTCCTTTAAGTAAATTGCCACCGGTTTGCTTATGATGCCTTTTCATAGGTTTCTGTTAGAGGTGATGACTTGAAATGACCACACAATCTAAATGCATGGGCATCCTAACCTTCTAATATCTTCTAATACCTTCATGCTAAGGCAGGTCTAGACATGGAACCAGGTAGCCAACGCTCCTTTAAATTTACAGCTGGCGTCTAACCGTTGATATTTTCTCTAGTTGTTGTTAATGGAGAAAATTAGCTTGTCCACTCCTGTGCTAATGGAAATGTTGCCAATTGTTGGAATCTTCCACCTAGACATAAAGCGAGCCCCATATAGCACCACAAAGGGATCTTCTTCTGCTTTGACCAGGAGTCAAGGTCTCATGGCTTTCCTGGGTCCAAAGCTCTGTTTATCTCAGACTACATGGGTGGTTACTGGGCAAACTGCAGTAGTTTAAACTATGCAATAGAAAATATTGACCATGATCTCAATGCATCATCGATAATATCACAGCTTTCAGCACCATATATCATCCATATGTCTTCCATTGCTGCACTGATATGAGAAGAGATCACCATTCTTGCGCTCTCTGTGGTCCAATACTCCATAGGCATTGCTCCTTACTATCCTAGTGCACCAATGGCTAGGTGTCCCTCTACAGGGCAAATTAATGATCACCTATCTACTTGCTCAAACGTCTGAACGTCCCTGGTGGTGCCCCACTCCCCACACTCTTAACAATCCAGTTGTTCAGTATTCAAATCAAATGTAAGAAAACCCTGTATGTTATGTTAAGTCACATTTTAATTTTCCACATCTAATTGAAGGAAGAAGCAATTTTCCAGGTCGTAGAATTACTAGTCATTTTCTATGGGTTGTTAATGTTCATTTGCCATTTCTTAATGAATCTTAAGTTCTGCCCACTCCGTTGAAATGTGAGCAGTGTGTGGCCCTGTCGGCATGCCTCTGTTCCACAAAAGTGGATTTTTCAATTGACTTTTGTCAAAGGAGCCGGCCCAAAAATTCTCAGCGGAACGCTTTTTTTGTACAAATGATCTCGGTGATGCCGCCGAGATCACTTGTATGCAGCCTGCAGGTCTGCCATTCTCCACTCGGGGGGGCGGGGTTGGCGGGTAGGGGGACTTATTGAGGAACCTAGGCTTGGGGCAGCAGAGATGGTTGTGGCTCGGCTCTACCCAAAGCTTGTGCGGAGGGTGAATCCGGTGGGGTTTTTAGGTGGACACGTCCTGCTTAGTTTGGGAACGTTGGCAATGATATTTCCTACATTTTGCCAACAGACAAATAAGAAGAATGCTGATTCTTCGATATGACAACAAAGAAAGTCAAAACTTTGAATGTGACATTGGACGATAGAGACCTCGATTATCGAGCCCTCTGATTAGAGATTAATTGGCACTTTCTGTTCCTACCCGTTTTTTTCTGGAAAACAATTAGTTTGATAACAACACAATTACTCCCCTTATCTCGTGCTTGCCACTGCTATAATTAAGGACGTCGCTCCAGATGCCTCTCTTTTTGCTATTTTAATCACATAAATTACACAAGAAATATTGCTTTAATATGTCATCACGCAGCCTTGATTAAAAATTAAAGTGATGAAATCAGGGTTTAATACGGCTGCTGTGCTTCGGCTCTTATTAACGCATCTGAAAGAGATTTCCTATCTAAATTACGGGATACAAGGACATGATTACAATACCGGCAACACTGTATATTTATGTTCACAGATGAAATCAGATTGCAGCGCTAGTGTTGTTACAGTGCGTTGCGCTAACCCTTCCTCTGCCGGGGGACTCCTGAGATCGTTGGACGTGACTTTGTGCAGGCTTGCGTCGTACGAGGTCTTTAACGTTTTTATTTTTCACGATGTGAACATTTGTACGCATTGTTATTTTAACTAAAGACGTAGGCCTTTATTAACCCGAGAACAAGCGCATATCATTTGGCAGGTACTCAGAAAGCATTTTTTTAATGAATGAAGGATGATTAAGCCGCTAATAATTTGCTCCTCTGCAAGCCTTAGTGTGATTACAACCAATTATTATCGCGTTGAAGGATCTGAACACACGTTCCACTCCTCCGTTCCAACTGAGTCAACATTGTTGGTGCTCTCTTGCCAGCCAGCCCACCCCCCCACCCCCCCCGCCACCACAGCACCATATGTTCTCTG